AATGATGCACGACTGATGATGATCAAGCCACGACGAATTATTTTGAAGTCTTGTTTTAAAAAACTGGGAAACACTACAGGGAAGAAATAGAGTAGAATGGGTAAAACGCGTTGGTGAACGAAAGAGAACAGGATTGACTGTGGGGTTCGGAATTGCCTGAGTTTGCGCAACGGAAAAGACAGGAGTCTCAGTTTTTCCATACAACTATAAATGTGTGGACCAATGAAGAGTGCTGTCAATAGTCAACACTCAGGTAGTTGACTGAGGTCATTCTGGATACAGGTTTACGGCTAAGGGTAGCAGTCCGTTGGAAATGAGGGTCAGAAAACTATTGGATGTAGGATCGATTTTCAGTGAAAGAATCAAATTCCGAAGGAGGTGAAATTGTTTGACATAAAACGACGTCATCGGCATGCTTTTGGATATGCGCAAGGCATGGGACCGAAAGATCACTAAAAAAACAGACAAAAGATATGTAGATAGAACAGATTGAGAAACTTGGAATGACCATCCAGACTAGATTTAGTGTTGACAAATGAAGAGTTGATGGTAGAATCCGTCGCCATTACGACCCCTCTGGGATGCAGTGACCATGTTGTACTGTTGTTCAAATTCATTTGTTACGGTTCTGTCAAAGTAATTGAGCCAAACAACATTCGCACATTCATAAATTATGCAAAGTTGCAGAGCATGGCTCCTTCCATTCAATGGGTATCTCATAGGGAAGAGCGCAACCGTTTAGCAGTGTGGCTGGAATCTATTGACAGTCTGCAACAACTACTAGCGTCAGTGACGCAGGTAAAATTTGTTACCAAACCCAGCAACCGGAAATCACCTATTCACAGCCGTACGAAGAGATGGATATTTCTGAGGGACCTCTCTTGGAGAAAGTACAAACGACTTCCGAATACATGCACCTAAAATAATAACCGACTGCTGCGACACCACTGCACCAAGTGTGTGCGCGAAGATAAACTACAGCATCAATAATCTCTGGAACAGAGATTTATTTCAAACCCCAGGCATTTGTACAAACATGCCGACTCAGGTCGATAAGGTAAACATGGTATATCGGTGCTCATTTCCTCTAGTAGAACCACAGTTAACACAATGGAAGCCGCTGAAGTGCTGAAGAACCAGTATGCCCAAGTTTTTGCTGCATCAACTAATGAAGGACTGTGCCTCACTGCCTCGCTGGATGCATCATATTCCATATTCTTTACTAACCACCGTGTCATTCACTAAAGATAAGGTTAAAACAAAGCTGTTGGCTTTGAGTAAGAATGCATCGCCAGGTGCAGACTATTCACCCCCAAACTATTACCTGCTTGGCGAACCAATCGGAGTCATTAGCCCTCATATTCCAGAGGATGTTTGATCACACTGAATTCCTACCGTCGTGGAAACAGGACATAATTTCACCCATCTACAAAGATGATTGCCGTAACGGTCCCACTAACTACCGCCCTGTAACCCTCTTTTCAGTGTTGTCCGAAGTCATGGAACCCATAGTGGCAGATTCACTGATGGAACACCTAGAGAAGCACACACAACGTTCTGTCACCGAATCAATATGGATTCCGACAGAAGCGATCTTGCGCTGCAAATTTGCTCATCGCACGTGGGGAATGGACAAAAGCAGTTGATGACGGCGATGCGGTAGACGTTATTTATCTGGACTTCTCAAAAGCGTTCGATTAGGTGAACCACGAGACTCTACTGCGGAAACTGTATGATTACTGTGTTCGGGGCCTCATACTTGATTGGATCGAAGCATTTCTCAAAAATCGGACAGTATTGGTTGGTGTTTCACATTCGCTTTCCAGTTCTATAGACGAGATTCCATAAGCATCTGTGCTTGGCTCCGGACTTTTCCTAACATTCATGAACGATCTACCGAAGGCTCTGGGTACAAAGTCATTACTATTTGCAGATGACGCCAAAATCTAGAATACAGTGACGCAACCAGCGGGCTCGCTGGCACTCCAGGAAACGCTGAAAGTAGCTCATCTCTGGTCTCTTTTGAATTAAACTGAATCCAATAAGCCAAAGTGTAAGGTTCTATCTCTACGACACAAGGGGCGATTTTTGTATTTCCTCGGAAACGGACAACTGCCACACCACTCCAGTGAGAAGGACCTGGGCATCACCGTTCAAGAAAAACTTAAGCTTCTCACTCAACTGCACCAGGATATCGAACGCAGCTGTAAAGAATGTCAGGTTTGCAGAGGCCGGTTTGAGTCAGCGCTTTTCTCTAGTCTACTATAAGCATTCATTCGTTCACTGACAGAGTATGCATGGGAACCATGGCTACAACGTGATTGGAAAATGTTGAAGCCTCCACAAAGGATGGCCACAAAAATGGTTAAGGAGTTGAATCGCTATTCCTATGCAGAGACTGGAGTCGTTAGGGTTATATTCCAATCATTATCGGCATATCAGAGGAGACATGATTATGGTATATAAAATAATGCAAAACCCGAGCCGTCCCTGTCACCCGCTTCTGAAATTATCACCCCACGTTCATCTAGGAGGACATCCGTTCAAACTAGTGGTCTCAAAATGCCTATTGGAATGCCGGCGTCAGTCATTCGCAATCAGTACGTTCTATCCGGAACTCCCTCCCACACCACGTGGTCTGTGCATCAAGCACTGAATCTTTCAAACTGAGCCTTGATGAAGCATTAGCACACCTTAAATTCCAACATAAGTGAAGCTGTGTGCGACAGTGGAAGGGGCACGTATCATGTGACATTTTACCCAAGGAATTGTATGTATCACTATCGTTTAACCACAAAAACGAACCTATGGGACGAGAAAAGCATGAGCTTGTAAGATATTCTCATGATACAACTTTGAAACATTGAAACCGATTATTGTCCAAATTCTAATCCAATCTGAATGTGCGAGAACAAGTGCGGTTTTGGAACTTTGTCCATTGGCATGTTTCACGCACAACAACACAAGCCCACATTTCCGTTGCGATTACGTCAGAAGTGGAAGAAAAACAAGAAGAAAGGAGTTACATTTCTTTTCTAACAAGGGACGATGAAAAAATACACAGTTCTATTCAAATTTAAGAAAAAAAAACAAGTAGGAACGGTCAATCTGTGTACACGTCCCATATCCAGCCCCGCTGAGTTTGCAAACAGGAAGCAACACAAAGCGACTGTTGGAAAATGGAAAAATACACTTCTCAACAACGGATAGTCTGAAAGGTTCAGAGATGAAACGGTTGTAGAGAGACCGTCGCCTCCGCAAACAATGACAATGGGAAGAATTGAACACCCCTGAAGGAGAGATATCAGTAGGGAACTAACAAAACTAGCATCCGAACAGGGCAGTTATCCAGCCACTGGTCCGCTTTCCACGTTTCCTCGGCGATCCGAAATTCCGTGTGACTTTCACCTGCTTGTAACCACACCACTAATTTATTCACCTGTACCTGTTCGGTAAGTTACGCAGAATCAGACGATAAGGCGGTTTGTCACAATGAATCCAAGAGCACGCAACACACAGGTCTGGCTGCATGTATGAACAGGATAACCAAGGCAGGCGGAAATCCACCGGGCGAAAACCAGACATTAGATCAATAATAATAATAATAATGATAAGTTCCAAGTCACGCTGCAAAACAGGGCAGATTGCATGTGGGACAAAGATGGTGGGAACGATGGCAAACAGCATGGCCCAGACTGTCAGTATGTGTACTCTCCAATGCCCCGGAAAAAAGAGAAACCAGTTAATCAAATCTGCTGTGAGAGGATGACGTCAGAAGCTACAATCCACCATACCATGCAGAGGTCGATGGTCAAAGACCAAAGAGTAGCCCGATCTCTCCCAAACCTGAGTTGTCTATACATTCCCGCTGAAGTCTAAAAACCATTCAACCTAACAGTTGATTTTTTTAGTTGTACCAACCAACCAATCCATCAATCAATCAATCAATCCAGTTTCAGTCTATGTTGTGCATTAACATGCATGTGACTATAAATGCCTAAGAATGAAATTTCCAAAACCGAACCTGTTCGCATACAATTGGTTTTTCTTATCATTCAGTGAACGCCCAATCTACGTAGCACGTTTGTTTTTATTTGGTTGACTATGATGCTCGTTTGGGAATAGAAAATTAGTGTGTGAAAAAAAACAGTATTTATCAATCAAACCAATTACCATCAAGTCACTCTCCTTAGGGGAAGGCGCACAGAATGTTCATAACACCATGGCTCGTGTGAACACTGACCAGTAGCCGCTAGACAACTTTATTTTTGATTATCAACTATTTTACTTTCCATTCAGAAATAAATTATTATCCGAAGGCCTCAGTATGGTTGACGTGGGGTAGGTGTCTCGGGTAGTGACTAGTCACCATTCCTTTACACCTCGCGAAATATGACCAATTAGCTTCTGCTAAAGAAAACCCTACTCACTGCCTTCCCGTGGAGCAGCGTTTTCTCACCAAACGAAGAGGACGAAAAGCCAACATCTGAGGCTATAACCAGGTTGGTAAACCATTGGCAGTTCACCCATGGGGAGTTGGTCAAAAACCTTGATTACAAACCAACCAAGAAGAGATGTACGAACCACACACACACACACCTTCGTGGTTGTGACAGTGATCACCGGATCGATTGTTATCGAGGTGTATTGAGCACCTTGAACGTTTTACCCCGTCCAAAGAGCGTATGATCCAAGGAACTGCGGACTGTGAGCTCCGTCTAGTTGTCTTGTAAGTCTAGCTTTCTAACCAAAGGCTTCGGATAGGGACCCCGGAGGTTATCCCTCTCCTTCGGTCAGGGCAATCGGGAAATAAGATACCCACACAACCTATGAACACATTCTATGGATTTCGTTTTGTTCATATGTTATGGCACATTTGTCAGTCCTCTGTAATTGTTCACGTGTTGAAATCAATAATTAATAAATATTTCGCTGTGCTGATGTCATGACAACATGAGAGAGGTGCACGTACACAGTGGACACAAAACAGTTTGACATACCCCAGATTGTATCGTTTCGAGCAATAAATGTGGGTGCAAATTTTTTCTTGTTCTCCGGACCACAAAACCCAAGCCAACTGGGATACTTTTGAAGATAGTCACTGCGGGCTAGGAGTTGGGCGAGTGGAACATTCGGGTCCATGTATGTGGATTGTTGAAGCCGACTGATCACGTCATCGGAAGGTGATTGATCATTGTTCCCAGTCCCGGTGATTTCGGGGCTGTCCATGACAGACTGAACAAGTTTACTGTATCGACAAATCACAAGGTATGAGTGGTGGAAAACGGATAAACCAAATACATCGAATACAATTTCCCCATGGGATGCTGAGGCAAAAAAAGTTACGGATTTAGAAAGCACAGATATATTCTCTTCAGTGTATTACTGGCCTGATCAACATGACTACACACGTGCCCAACAATATCCAATAATGATGGTAATGATGATTGACAGGGTGGTCATATAACCACAAACCTGACACAGTCTCGTGCTTGTTTGTATTTGTGTACTTTGACCAGTAGGTACTCAGAGAGACAGAGAGAGAGAGCTCGGATTCAGTACTGATCTGAGAAGCTAATTTGTCTGCTCGAAATTTGCGACGGCATTTCTTGGTGAGATTATTTTATTGCTCGGGCCACATTGGTGCTAGTGTTTGGAGCCCTTGGAACGTGACAGTGCAACATTTCGAACGAGAACATCACGATGATTCCCGAGCTAGCAACGAGGTGATTAATCGATGGATAAACCCGTGCCTAACAGACAAATGAGTTCACGCCATCAG